CCCAGCGAACTTTACTTTAGTAAACAATGCGTCGACTACATCAGCAGTACGTAGGTACACTATTCACATGAGTGTACGGCCCACCGAAACAACACAGCATGGGAACTACGTAGTTGCAAAGGCCTTAAAATTTCCATTTGCGAACAAGTGCTAGCTTTACCTCTTTCATACGAACTATTGTATTGTTTCTGATTATCTCACACTGCCTTAACAATCATATGCAATTCCTAAAAGAAATCGCACAAGTATCGATTCTCCAGATTGCTCACAGTGGCACGATTACACTGTGCATACGGTATCACGTGTGGCCAGATAGGCAAGCCTACAGTTCATCCGTAAGCCGTCAACGCTTCTCTTCCAACAGCCTGCAAGTGTTGCAGCCTCAACACAAACAAGCAATCAGCTTCTTATTACCACTCACTTAGATGTTATCGCGCTCGAGTGGTGGTGAAACCTGCTTACGCCAGACTGGCAGCGCCTATTATGTTTCCGATTGACTGTCAACCCTTGACACCATAGAAGTGTGCTGGTGCACCGATTGCCGTCAACAGATAGGCGACCGACCAACCGAGCCAATCGTACAACGAAACCACAAGCCTGCTACCAGCCTGCAGGTGGTTTTAAACAAAATGACAATTGTTCCAAAATCTGATTTTGTTTAAAACTACCAGCACATTTCGTACCGTAGCATTGTGCGCCTTAAGGAAAGCCGTCGCGTTCTCTTTGAATTCAAACCGTCCAATCGACATGACCGCAAGCGTCCGTATGACTGCACGCGCGCACAGCGTCGCACTTGTAACTCTTCCCTTTGATATGGCCGCAGACTAGACCTCAAAGTGCATCGCGTGATACGCAGCGGGTCAAAGCACACGAGAAGTTTATTCGGCTTCGAGTGCGGACGAACAGGCAAACTACCAACTGAAGCGATCGACAGTATTGGCTCACCAGCAGTTTCCTTGTCGTGTTATCGTGCAACAGCCTGGCGATGGGTACGATGGTTCCGTAATGAGCCATTGTGGCAGCTCGTATTACACAGCGCATGAGTTGTGGCGGAGTCAGCAACGCGTGCATGGGCGGTTGGTCTATCGCGCACTCCATAGGATGGACGGCGCGCACCCCGCCTAGGCAAGGAAGGACACGCGCAAGACTGACTTATCAATGCCTGCTATGCGGTTGGTTAACCCAGACATTGAGAATTCCAAGGGGGGGCCTTGGAGGAAAAAGGTTTTTAGGGGGTCACAGGAGTCCAGGTTGTGAAAAGTGGGTTGCGGTAACACGAGTACCAAAATTTGTCTAAAAATTTTTCTGAGTTTCCGCGCCCTAATCCCTGGTCACTACCGACCGCGGAAAGGGATTACGCGCGCAAGTTGCTGTTTACGAAAGGGTGAATCCAGACCGGTCAAACTTCTCGTTGCGCAGCTGGTTATGCCCCGCCAAACTTTCGCAGATTTCACTGCGCTCACCTCAAACATACAAACACCATACGGGGACTTAGACGGCGCAACTAACAACTGATTCATCCTCAAGACTTTGTTGCCTATCCACAGTGAACCAACTGAGCTGTACTCGCGACACTGTCGTCAGAACACTGCGGAAGTTACCGCACGAAGTCATATTGATACTAACAGGGTTTTTCCAAGGACACTAACACTATTTGACAACTCAAGTGTCGAGAAAGGATTCTCATTGGGTCTCACTTCAGCGAGGTTAGGTTACATCTGCAATTCCTATGCTTGCAATGGTTCCATTTGGAGAGCCAATTGTGACTTTCATGCTGGTGCCTAGCGCCGGTAGAGTACGTGTGTCTGAAAGACTCGTTGAAAAGTGCATCGTATTAAGGGACAACTAGGCTGCGCTATGCCACACTTGTCTTTGAAGTGCCGTATGATTTATCGAGAGCTCCAGTGTTTCAATCGCTGTACTTTTCATAATGCGGTCATGAATTCTAGCAAATTCCGTCGCGGTCAAAGCGTTTTCACACCTATGGGGACCAAATGGAAGTAAAGCCTAATTATCCTTTGAATACATAGGTTCCGCATCCTTCCTATGGCCTGTGAATAAGGCCATACCTGTTGACACTGAAGCGATAACTGATTACGAAAGTCGCCCATGGGTGTGGCTACAAACGAACACTCACTAATGTCATGTTACTGTCCCAGTAGGAATCATCCCAGTTGGAACAATGTCTACTGGTCCAATAACACTCTTATCTAACCAGGGAAGTTGCAATCAGCACACAACGCAGCCACTACATTAGCAGTAGCCAGCTACACTATTCACATAAGCTTTCAACGCACCGGATGACCACGACAGGTGGGCTTTGCAACTTGAACTGCTGCAACCTTTCCATTTGTACACAAGTCCTAGACTTATCTAACCTCGTTTGCAACAGTCTTCCCGTTCCCCGCCGCAATCAACTACAATTGTTGGAATGAGGTCCTCGACTAAGCACCGCTTGTCCCACACCGTGTCTTGGGGAAGGCATCCACGAAATCGCGTTACATCACCTTTGGGCTGCCGCACCATTACTTGGTACGCATCCTTCAGCGACGTACTCCTGTTTACGCAACTTCGCACGAATAGACATGCGCAGTTTGCAACACCATTCCATCACCCGCTCTGCAACCATCCGCATCCCCATGATTTAGGATTTCAAGCATCGAAAACAGTAACAACGGTGACGAAATATCTGCGTGTGCCAAAGTTCTCTGTATATATCCTGCGGAGCATGTAACGCACTATATCCCCTCCCGTCTATCGAGAAAAATAGGAACGTTATGTACACAAGTGTTTTAATTGAACGGCTGCAATCCATAAATCGGCCAACCGAATCACCCGTCCGTAATTCTTCGCAACATGTCGCACCACCTACTCGCAGTGGTGCCACGTAGCACAGCCTCTCGCTTCAATCAACATCTGCTCGAGAAATAGCGTGCGCCACTCGCCAGTGCAAAGAACCCCTTATGGATCCTCTCTAAGCGTTTCCGCATACCTCCTTATGGTGTCCTTCACATACACCTTAAAAGCACTCCACACGCCTTCGATAGGCGTTAGCGAAGGAGAGTACGGCGCTAGTCGTGGCAGCATTTCTGCTCGATAAGCTTGCTTGAAAATCCCCTGCACATCTGTGTGGCGGGATGCGTTGTCACAAATCAGAACACACTGATCAATAAAAGCGGCTCCCTGGGCATCCAGAAGTTCCAGAACCCACTGTGCGCATCTTCGCTTTTTGAAGCTACCTCGTAAAACGGAAAAGGCTATCAATCCCTGGCTTTTCATTGCACCCACAACGTGCACATTCTGCCCGTAGTTGGTCGCCACCGTGCACTGTGCTCGAGTTCCCCACCGTGAACGACCCCAGGAGCGAGCACAAAATAGATTGAACTTGATCTCATCAATCCAAACGGGCTGTCTTCCTTCTGCCTGCAACTGTAGCATCCGCAACACAAACAACCTCGGTCGCATTTTGTTTGCCAAAGTGTTCATGGATTCCGGGATCGTGTGCAATTTCTTTAGCGTGATAAGACGACCATCAAGGTATCTTGAAACTGTGGTGATGTTAACTTCGACGTCGAATTCAGCCTCCAACGGCAAACGGTGTGTTGATAAGGTAACGGTTGGTTCTTCAGATAACCCACTCGACCAGAGCATCGATGTGACTTTCTGTCAGGGACCTGCGGTGCGCCCCACCGTGTTGCATTCGCTGTTCCACGGATTCCAACATCCGTCTCCAACTACGGCAGTGCTCAATTTCACATTCAACAATGAAATAACATTCATCCAATCCGCCCCTTGCTCATAGACACTCAAACTTCTCTTCCCCAACTCTGACGTGTCGCGTGTACGGCCCTCTTCGTTTAATGCGGTGTCTGCCCGATTCACGTCCGAACACAGACATCTTAGCTGTTCAGTAACCCACCGCAAATCAAAGAAACCGACGCACGTTCACGACGTTACCTATAACTATTGCGTATTGAAATTTAAATAGCACATTCATTTATCGCTTGAGTCCACTCCAAAGGCTTACCCTTGCTAGTTGCCTAAAGACGGTGGCTGTGATGCCTTTGGTTTATTTTCCTTCCAAAATGTCATGCCTTCTAAAACCACCACTAGGCGAGTTGCAGGTGTGCCACTGCTAATTCAGCTTAGGGTGTGCAGTGTCCTAGCCACGGCGCATGCCTGACCAACCGCAAATGCAGGCCTGGCTGACTCCCTCAGACCTAAGGGAATCCGAAATACAAGTTAGAAAAATGCCTGTCTACGCCACCAGGGTGACCATGGTTAGGCCGCTGAAATAAGCCACCACCAGGTAGCGGCTAGCGATCAATAAGTATAGACCGCTTCATGTGGTGGTTTGCATGTCCGTCCGCATTGGTTACGGTGTAAGCTTCGGATCATGTGGTAGCTAGGATCTCCTCCTTAGACAGGCATCACAAGTTGCCCATTGGACGGTTTCAGGTTGGAGAGCAATCGTCGGGGTTTCCTTCGGACGCGCCTCAGCGCAGCATAGAAGGTGGTGCTGGACCACTTTCATTGGACTGTCTGTCGCTTATGCTCGGTGCTTCCAACCGCTGTTCCATTGTCTAACGTGCCATGACCGATGAGAGTGTCAACAACGCCAAAACAGCGTTATTGGCCTCGCGAACTTGAATGTACAGCACACGATTGCGAAAATCTGCTACACAAAAAACGTGGTACAATACGCTAACATGCCTGTAAAATGGTATAGTCAGCAAAGCAGACAAGGAGGTACACCGAAGGAAGGAGCTGAACCACAAATAATCTCTATGGAACTGTTTGATCAACGTCAGTACCATAGTCATAGAGTATATATCATATCACAACTTCAAACCGGCAGAACGTGCGATGGTGTGAGCGGTGACACTGCGTGCTGGCATTCTGCGTCTGTCATCTAGTTCACAGCTTATCTCTTTTTTCTATGTAGGAAAGGTATTCATTTTCATTACTTTTCAATTTCATCAGCATGCTTTTCCAATCCACAGCGACTCTGTTGGGCCATTTGGAAAGTACACTGCGATGTGATGCGAGTCCGATGCAATACAACAGAAGATCTGGGTGTCAGCTGGCGATTCGCTTCTCAGTGGGCTTCGGCGATGGGAAAACATCTTCGAAGACTAATGCCTTGTGGTGATCTGCCAACGGCAATCATGGGTCTCAAAAATCGTCTGTACTCTCGTTGGACCGGACTGCGTAAGTTGAGTACTCTGAAGGATAGATACCGAGGGATTTGCGTAAAGTGTAGGCATGTGAACTTTTTAGTGGACGAATAATTGCTTAACCGTACACAATATTAGCTGATGTTGTATCAGCCCCGTGACTGCATCCATCCACTAAAGGTAGTGGGATCCTGAACCAATAGGCACATGATTCTTTTCACAGTAAGCCAACCCTATTTATTTATCAGGAAGGCTAACAGACTCGTAACTGTCGAAAACGACCAGAGCATGGACAACGCGTGCCTGAACAAGGCCAATAAGCACTGAACAAGCTGAGAACCAATCGGTTTCACACAACGAGACGAAACTAGGGTCGTTGACTCCAGGGAGAAGCTAAGATCAGCAGCCGTAAAACCACTCTAAACAGCCCATGTAGCCAATGGAATGATGAGTTAAAATCCACAAGTGAATGAACGCAACAACACGGGAGACTGCAGTTATTAAACCTTGCATAAGCATACCTGAATTGTTGTCGCTCTTATAACATATTGCTGAGTTGATAACTAAACAAATTGAGTACACGGTTGGGTATTGGAGTGCCCGTCGTGCGTCTAGCATGCGACACGCAACCTCAGTTGAGACCATAGTTTAATCTAGGGTAAGCCTCTGCAATTCGATCATTGGTATCGCATCCAAAGTGGAGGGTTTCGGAGATGCTCCTTTCCAACGCTGCACTCCATGACTGACCGGTTTTGTTCTGATTTGGATTCGTCAGGTAGAGATATTCTGAGCTGAGGGGGAAACCAGACACAGTGCTCAACTGTTTACGCCTTGATTACTAAGCCACAGCTCCACGAGTAGCGCTTGATATGGCGTACACGTATTGTACTGAGCAGCAACGGAAAAATCGTTTATACTGATGTCTATTCCCGTAACATCGATCGGAACACTAGGTGTCTCCTTTGTGTCATTCTAGTCCTCTCCGCAGTTCCGAAACAGGAAACGAAGTGGCCCTCATCAGACGAAAGCATCATGTTCGGTGTTCGCACGTATGCGACACGATTGCAGATATTGTTATCAAGGCATTGCCACAGTACTTGTAGTATCACATGCGATCCAAACTAACACATCCAGTCGAGTTGTTTTATGGCGTACCCCTGCTTGCGTGAACCACAGGCACTGTTGATCTTCAGCAAGGCAAATATTCCACTTTCATTAAGTAGACCAGAGGCTGCTGCATTTGCTCGTAATTTCACTAAAAAGCTGATGTCCCAGAGTTGCCGTACTCTCAGCCGTCCGGTTACACGATGTGTGAGGGTTCTCAACACACACCGCCCAGCCATGTCGCGTGTTGCGCCCACTCACCTTCGGTGCGTGTGCTGTTACTGTGCCAACAGCCATCCAGGCTCTTGGTGTGAGGTGGTCAACTGCCTTACTCGGTGAACCCGTTTGGAAATCAGTTGCTCTTCAGTTAATCAAAAATTAGTAAGGGAGATTCGAATGGTGTACGCTGGGATGCATTACTCTCATATTCAGACAGCTATCACATGTCCTGAGAGGACCCAGACGGTCGTTTCAGCCCTTCTAAAATCACCAGTAGTGCACATTCCATCTGTTGGGATATTACACAACCGCACTTTTATGAGTTCGTGCGTAAACCTACTGGGTCACGGGGATAGCAACGACTGGCATGACCAGACTGCTAGATGTGATGCAGTGAAGCTATGTCGTCACCGTCTGGTCTGCACTGGTTAAACCAATGAAGACTTCTAACGGACTGCATAGGAAGCAGATCAAGTTTGATGGATGCATGGTTTTTATATTGTCTCACCTTGGACCTCCAAATATGGCTTTCGATTGGACACTGGCATTGTACAACAATTCAGATTATGTTCGTGGCGGTGACTGGGGGTAATAACACTCAATTCAAACCTATTATAGTGACTTCAACAAATCACGGAGAGAATGGATTGGAACAATGTAATATGAATTATCACATCGAGATGGCACTAATCTCTAGCCGGCTTCCAAAGCGAATTGTGTTTAGGATTGATGCCGACAACTTGCTTACGCACGGAACGCTAGGGAGGTGACTGAACTCAAATTAGCGCATTCATTTGGTCTGAATTTCGGCACTGTCCGCTATGTGTGTAATTAACCCTTTAGGTGCATACAGATTGCTAAACCCCATGTGGTTTGGTGCAGATGAGTTCGTCTTCCTTTGTCGTAAACAGTAACCCTTTTTGGGTTCTGTTGAACAATACATTCCTCGCGATCCGTAGCCCTCAGCTGAGGTTGGCGGAAGGATTAACAATCACCACTGGTCAATGTTCACATCTCATCCCTTAGGCCTTTTTCATTTTCATCTTTATAAGCATTTGACTATGACACATGAGGTAGGCTTCCAATCAGAACAGTAGCTGTTACGTTATTAATTATGAGTCTCGTATACCAAAGACATGCTAAAATTAGTACTTATGAGGTCCTGTGGGATATGAACGCTTGTTACTATTAACTTAAGATACAGTGGATGGGTACCACATCTTATCGATAAATCTACCTGTTTTTGTCAGCTAGCTAAAAATCCAACGTTCACATTGTTCTTTCCTACTTAGTTCTCAGTGATCCTGTGATCGAGCCACCTTTAATCTCAGAGGATACCATGTTTGCGGTAGTGGACTCATTTTGTTACGAGGCAAATCGCTTACTTACGTTGTGGCTTCCTGAAAGATATCACAATCCAGCCATGCTCCGAGGTATCTATTCGTCTGTTCACAAATATTTGCTACAGCCAACAGCGGACAGACTGCTGGTTTCAGTGGCTTATTTGCTCCTCGGTCCATCTGGAAGTCTTTTTCTGGACGATCTTCGTCTTACTACTGGACAGCGATCTCACTTGTATTCGCAGCTCAAGAGAACAACGCATTCCAGATCTTCCAGCAGAAAAATACGAAGACGAAAGGGTGCAACATCAATATCAGCTCGCGCATTTCACAAAAAAGTGGAGTTGGATACCCTGTGTTCGTCGATATCTTCTTGTACCTATCGGGATCACTCGCCACATGATTTTCGTAGCTGGGCACGCAACGGTAGACTCAATCCGATGCTCGCAATGCAACCTCGCCAGACAACTTGTTTGACACAGTACCCTGTTGCAAAACTCGTGGAAAGGGCCCAGACCATCTTACTTCCTTATACCACGGTTCCTGAAAAAATGGACATAGACGTATCCCATGAGATAAGTAAGCTGCTTGTCCTGCCATCTGAACCGCGATGGAACGGTAAAGAACCTGTTCGTTGGCCCGATGCGATACAGACATTTTGTTGGATCCTAGAGTAAGTTCTTAGATTAGTTTGAAATCTCAATTATGGGTATGCCCATCCTAAATACTTCGTACCGTAATCGTTGTTCGTCAAAGATGGATTTGTGGAATGTAACGTCTTTGTTCCTATTACTGTGAAAACCCACATTGTGTAAATCGTTTGTTCAACTATCAGAGAACGTATATGCTTACACATGGTAAAAATGATGCGTAGGACACTGCAAATGTTTGTACCTATCCAAATGGTTCAACCATAGCAATCCCCGTGTGTTGTAACACAGCCCCGAGTATATTTCCCATCAACCGTATCGAAGAGATACCTGTTTTCGGCAAAATATCTATTCAGTGACAGCATGCTAAATACTGGATACTGAATACTGAGGATAGAGCGAGAAGATAAAAATCTGTGTTGCTCTATCGTAGGTGGATCGGGCACATGCGCGGAATCATGTTACTGATTCCTGCGCGGTGGCAGCACATTGCAGCCGCACTACATCCCGTTGCGTTGCCCTCCCTATACCTGTAGTCCGCAAAGTGGGCATCTACGAATCCTAATATTTCGGTTGTTCTCCTCAGTCGCAAACACAATACGGTCAGAAACATACAAGGGATTATATACATGGGAAAAAAGCACCACCAATCAAAATGTCACAGTCAAGACCATGACAACCGAACTGATTGCCTCAAGAGTTTCTGTGCACATAGCACAGGTTGATAAGCCTTAATTAACAACGCCTCACTAATTGCTAGCATTATCGGGTTTTTGTTACTTAATAACACTTTGAACGCTGTCTCGGGGTTTACGTGATGACGGGTTGTCATGAGGCACTTGGTGATAGACGATGCCGGGCTCCGATTGATTCTTAGATTTGTCCCATATTGTTGCTTAATCACTTGTCCCAACCACTTTGGCAAGTGTTCAGCTACCCTCTGAGCTAACTGACGGTTTGTTCTGCCTATGTAAATGTCACCGCAACCGCAGGTGAACTGATAAACAACGTGAGTGGCCGAACTACCCGACGAGATGCTCTGACGGTTATGAAGAACAAGTGCTCGCGTGGTATGCCTGAGTCGCAACTGGGCTGTCGTGTAGATTCGCGTTAGGGCAGACCGGAGCTTGCGTCCGATGTCATTTGCCACATGGTCCCCCTTGAACGGCAAGAACAAATAAACATTCTTTTTCTCAGCCACCAACACCGGTGTTTTCACGCTGGGAGGTCTGCTGTGTACCTGAATAAACTTCTCAGGATATCCATTGGAAATTAAGATTTTGCGTAGAAATTCTTCTTCGGCTTGTAACGTTTCGGGGCTGCAAATACGTCTAGCTCGGTAGAAGAGAGTTCTCACTAACCCGCGTTTGTATGCGATCGGGGCTAAGCTTGAAAAATAAGAGTACTGTCCAGTCTAACTCGATTTTCGGTGAACAGTGCGTTGCAACGTACCTTCAGCCTGTCTCCTAATGAGTTTATCCAAAAATGTCAGGCAATGGTGTTGTTCCACTTCATGGCATACCGACAGATTAGGGTGAATCGAATTTAGGGTGGTCAGCAGCCGATTAAAATGTTCTCCGCTGGTGAGGAATAAAATGTTATCCACATATCGTCTGTACAATTTCGCTTCGCCAATGCTCTCAGCAACTTGTCTTTCTATCAGGCCGAGGAAGATGTGGGCTAAAACTGGTCCCAGCGGACTGCCCATAGCGACCCCGTCGATCTGTTTGTATGCGGTCCCCTCAAATTCAAACCGTAAGTTCTCGGTGCACAATAGAATCATATCCTTTAAATACTCCACTGGCAGGCCAACTGACATATTTTGACTCAGGATTAAATCACATAAATTATCAACTGTCTCACGTAAAGGCACATTTGTGAATAAGGAGTCCACATCTATTGAGTCATAAGCTCTCCACTCAGTGACAATTGTTCCAGTGTCTCAGCCAGTTCAAAGGAGTCCTTCAGGCAATACGTGGCGAGGAGTTTACGCACCGGATCTAATAGTATGGCCAGCCACCGCGCGACATTGTGATAAGGTGAATTGTTCATGCACATAATCGGACGTAGCGGAAATCCTGCTTTGTGTAACTTTGGAGCGCCTCGCATTCTAGGTGTCTGTGTCCCGGTCGGTTTTAAGTGCCTGTACTGTGACTCATTAATGTAACCATGTAGCAGGAGGATCTGGAGCTTCCTTGCCACCTGCTTCTCTACCAGGATGTTGTTTTCCGGTGTATTATCCAGCTGGAACTTCCGAGTGTCTCCCAGAATGGACTCCATCTTCGAACTGTAGTCAGGCCTGTTCATCACTACAATACCCGATCCCTTAACCGGCTGCAGGAACATTACGTGCCTCATTTGTTTCAACTCCTTGATCGCCGTATAATGTTCAGATTGCAGACAGCACCTCTGACTTATCGGCGTACACGGAAACTGGTTCGCAATATCTACCAATTTCGCCCGAAACCAACCCGCATCTTCTGTCGATCTTGGCGTGAGGTCACTGAACTGTTCATTCAGATACTCAAAATGCGCCTGCGTGTTGACCTTGCCTAGCGCCTTTGGCGGCAGTCGGTATTTCATTCCAAGCGAGAGAACTTCAAATGAGTTCGCGTGAACTGAGCAGAGGACAAATTGTATACATGCTTCAAGCAATCAGTACCTTCACTTTTCAAGCGTAGCCCCGATCGCATACAAACGCGGGTTAGTGAGAACTCTCTTCTACCGAGCTAGACGTATTTGCAGCCCCGAAACGTTACAAGCCGAAGAAGAATTTCTACGCAAAATCTTAATTTCCAATGGATATCCTGAGAAGTTTATTCAGGTACACAGCAGACCTCCCAGCGTGAAAACACCGGTGTTGGTGGCTGAGAAAAAGAATGTTTATTTGTTCTTGCCGTTCAAGGGGGACCATGTGGCAAATGACATCGGACGCAAGCTCCGGTCTGCCCTAACGCGAATCTACACGACAGCCCAGTTGCGACTCAGGCATACCACGCGAGCACTTGTTCTTCATAACCGTCAGAGCATCTCGTCGGGTAGTTCGGCCACTCACGTTGTTTATCAGTTCACCTGCGGTTGCGGTGACATTTACATAGGCATAACAAACCGTCAGTTAGCTCAGAGGGTAGCTGAACACTTGCCAAAGTGGTTGGGACAAGTGATTAAGCAACAATATGGGACAAATCTAAGAATCAATCGGAGCCCGGCATCGTCTATCACCAAGTGCCTCATGACAACCCGTCATCACGTAAACCCCGAGACAGCGTTCAAAGTGTTATTAAGTAACAAAAACCCGATAATGCTAGCAATTAGTGAGGCGTTGTTAATTAAGGCTTATCAACCTGTGCTATGTGCACAGAAACTCTTGAGGCAATCAGTTCGGTTGTCATGGTCTTGACTGTGACATTTTGATTGGTGGTGCTTTTTTCCCATGTATATAATCCCTTGTATGTTTCTGACCGTATTGTGTTTGCGACTGAGGAGAACAATCGAAATATTGACATATCACAACGTCTGTCTTCTCTCTACCTTAACCAAATGTCTGAATGGGACCCACTGTTTTATCTAGGGATCTCTTAAATTTCGACACTGATTTCGCCTCAACTAGAGTCTTCGGCAAGTTGTTCCAATATTACATCACTCAACGCTCGAAGCATAGAGGGTGAGCGATGCGCCTTAAATCCGGGGCAACTAGTTTGTGCCCGTGTCCACGTGTGCTGCTTGATGCGCGAACGTGCAGCAGCGGCCTCAACATATGAAAGTGGCCCAGGTACAGTATGCGGTACCTCATTATGAGACCAACTAGAAGCCGACGACATGACAAGATATAAAGCCATAGTCTCTGACAGCAGTCCTCATGCGACTTACCTCTTAAGCTGGGGCTGAGTCATGTATTTACATGCTGCACCCGTTCCAGTCTCTGCACCTCATCTATTGTGATCGGTCAATAGGCGCGTGAGCTCTACTCAAGCACCCGTCTTATCATCGAAGAGAAAAGACGGGTGGCAATCTCTTCAGACCAAGTGCAGAAGCTGCGTCTAAGTGCTCAAAGTAGGCGTAGTCCATTTGCGTACAGTTTGCTCGTGTTGTCGACAAACTTCAGATCACAGCTTGAGAGTACACCTAGATCCTTTAGGGAACTGGTAGGATGCAGATGGTTGCTAACCAGGGTGTACGCACGACCATTACCACCCCTTCCCAGGCTCATAAACGAGGGGTTGGCCAGGTTGACCGGTAGGTCCTCTTCTGCAGACCATCGGGATAGGCGGTCGTCCTGCTGAAGGAGGTCATAATCGTCGGAAGAATCAATAACCCACCAAATCTTCAAGTCATCTGCAAACAGTGCACAAAGCGAACGAAGAAGCAGAGGCACTTCGTTTATGTGCATCGGGAATAAAATTGGCCCCAGTACTGTGTCTTGAGCTACACCGATAGTGGAGGGGTACTAGTCCGTTCGGTGGTCATCCACCTGTACCCGCGATCTTCTCCCAATAAGCAAGTCACTGAGCCACCGACGCAGTGCACCACCAACCCCACACATCCTCAGCTTGTAGAGCAGGACCACAAGGTTCACTTTATTGAAAGCTGTACTGACTTCCATGTGGTTAACCTCTACCGACTTCCCCCGGTTCAACGCCTGCAACCATTCCTGCCGCGTCAACATCAGGTTGATGATGTACGAGCGGCCCTTCAGGAAACGGGACGTGTCAAGCACTTGCTTTTATCCCGTGATAAATCATTGTTCATTGTTCGTTGTTCATTGTACTGGCGTTAGGAGATCTTTCGATGCCAGTACCTGGAGAAAACCCTTTTTCATAATATTCTCGAGCACATTCGCCAAGACAGAGGTGAGACAAATCGATCGGTAATTATCCACATTGCGTGTGTCACCGCCTTTTGGAATCGGCTTCACTACCGAGCATTTCCAGTCGCTCGGCAATGCATCCTCGAACAGCGATCTGTCGAACAGATCCGCCACTGAAGGCGAGGTGATGGCCGGTGAGTACTTTAAGATAAGCGGATGA